TGTGCAACATTCACCTGGATGATGCGACGGCAGGCATAGTGCGCCAGAACGCTCACCACACATCAGCTATTAGTGGGGAGGAGAGCAGAGTAATGAAGCCAATTCATAGAGGAGGTTTTGAGTCTGGATTTGAAGGAGTTTAGAGAAGGTGACTCTCCGATATCCTTGGGCAGAGACTTCCAGAGCTTTGGGGCATAACAGGAGAAGGCTCTGTCACCCATACAATGTAGACGCGCTTGGGGGACAGTAAGGAGACCAGAATTAGAAGAGCGAAGGTTGCGAGGTGCCAAGCTACACAGAGCCTTGTAGGTGAGCATGAGGATTTTAAAGTCTACACGGAATTTGACAGGAAGCCAGTGCCAAGACTCCAGGATAGGAGTAATGTAATCATTTGCACTAGACCTGGTCAGGATTCTGGCTGCTGAATTTTGGACGTACTGCGGTTTGTTCAAAGTAGATTTAGATACCCCAGCGAGCAGAGCATTACAGTAGTCGGAATGATCTGCCACACATTAAAGAAAAAAAACTGCCGCACACCGAAAATACCAACGGAATCAAATCCGGAACCGAATTCGGCAGGATACAGCTTGAGAAGAGGGGAACAAACCTGCAATGTTTAACAATTACAGTTTTGGCAGTGGACAACCTGGGTTACTGTCTGATTAGGTGCAGGTTATTCTGACAGAGGTTTCTGCATCTCTGCAATTCAAGTGAAACTATTACACAATAGCGCCTTTGAGTGGGTTTTGAAAAAGACCCAAATGAAAAGTCCAGCCTTTCTCATCGCTGAAATATGCCGTGGCCGTTCTCACCCAAAGGCACAGAAAGCCTCCATCACGTCTCCCAGTGGGTGGCTCACTGATGACCTCTTGTGTTCAAGTTGTGGGAATGCAGAGTCATTTTTACATCTTCCCCCACATCTTACATAAAGCTTTCATTTCCGTTCAGCAACCATTTCACTGTATTATTTGGTGCCAAGGAACAATGCAACCCACGCCTATCTGCCAGAAGCACAGTTTTATAGAAGCACAGCGTATGTTTGGGCTCCAGGTGATTTTAAATCTGTAAACTGTAAACTGGATCCAAAAGCAACAGTAAACAAAACATTTTGGAATGAAACTTAATAAATCCACTTCAGCTGAGCAGATTGGGGTCCAGTAAAAGAGATGATATTTGGGTCTCTGTTCTCTTATCTAATCATGATAAAATATGAATTGTTATGTTAAAACTCGAGACTTTTTTGCCCAATTAAAGTGTTCAGCCTGCTTAAATGCATCTGCAATAAAGGCTCACAGGATAATATCTAATGCGGATATCTTTCTTTCTTCTCCACAGACCAGCACAGAGAAGCTCAAAGAGGGTAAGCATGGTGATGAGTGCATCTTTTGAGTTGTGTGTGGGCTAATCACTTCTACAGTGATCACAACAGCCTCTTGTACTGAAAATGTACAGAAAAATGTAAGCCTGCAGATTTACCCAGACTCCACAGCAAAGCTTAGCTTTGGCACTCTGCTCTTTAAGACTATGAATAATTGCATTAGCATTTAAAGAGACATCAGCACTGGGATTTCAAAAAGATTTTGCAGCACTGCTATGCCAAGCTAAAATCCCATTTGCAGCCGTTACATTATCAGACCTCTATTTCTGTGTTACATGGTACTGTACCACTTTTTACAAGAGAAGCCACCAGATAACACGGGTAGAGGGGGCTCTAGTCTGTGCTTGGGTTCTGCTCAGGCCGATTCTTTGTGGAATCTGTTCTTTATTATACAACAGTGATGTGGTCCGTTGCCAACTCATCTAACTGATGGATCCCTTTCAGATCTTGTGGTGAAGGGCACAAGGACTGCAATATGACCGGAAATCCTACTCTCCAGTTAAGCCAATAACTACCCAGTCCAAAAAAGGACTTGCGGGTTTCTTTCCCCACATTGAAAATCTAATATGATACAGTAGGGCCTGGTCATCTGCGAATTTAACATTTGCAAATGTGCTCGTAGGCGATTTGATCTTGGCCGACGGGGTCTTGAATGGAAGAAGGGGAGAGGGCGATGAAACCGAGCTGAAGGTTCTTAAGCGCAACTTTCAAACTAGAGGCGCAACAGAGCAGGATCAAGAGACGAATCTAGCTAGTGAGTGAGCTTCTCCCCACATCTCAGCGTGGTCCTGTTTTTGTATTGTAACAAACGCTCCAGGTTCTGTGTCAGCGGTGTGGGGAGACGACTTTATAGGCTCTCTGACTGTCTTGTTGCCCTGCTCATCACAGCAGGGCCTGCTGGACACAGAGCAGGGAATAGCTGGTAAGGCAGAGGGAGAAAGTGCAGGCAGCCGCAAGGAACACCGAGGATAGATTCACAGATAGATTGTAGTTTATTTTAGCTGATTACTATAAGTTTGTGATTGCACTAATTTGTTTCAGTTGATCATATATTTCATTAACTTAAAGCCAACACATTAGTATGTTAATGATCACATAAGCGATGGTTATAAAATGTGATGGTATAAGGGGTAGACTTGATTATATTGTGAATTTGTCTATTTGTGACGTTTCTCTGCGTCAGATATTGAGACTCTACTGTACTGTAAATAAACATCAAAGTCACTCTTTTGGAGCACTGTAAGATCAACTTTTTATTCCCTCCCATGACGGACTTCCTCACAAGGTGAATTCTGCCCCGCGCTATGCCAGGTGGATTCCAGCCGCGCAGGCCGCCGGTCGTTGTCTTGGCAACGCAGCTCGCTTGGCTGCAAACGCAGGCATGCCTGAGCTCCTTCTCCCCCAACCCGTACTCTCAGGCTGATGAGGCGGGGGTGAAGGTCTTTTTGTTGGACTTTACAGTCGAGCCGGGGGGATGGTAGGACAACATTTCCCAAAATATAAACCTAATGAGAATATGATCCTCACTAGCTTCCAAGTTTCTAGTAACCTGACAAGTCAGATAGACTCTGAATCAAAGGACGCGTGTTAGTCTCTCAACAGCTCAGTTCAGTCCTAAAACCCAAGTGTGGAAAACCTTTGTGAGTCCTGTGACTTGTGGATCTTCGGCGCCGCGACAGAAGACGCAGAGGTCCTGACTTTCTTGCTCAAGCGACGTGACCGCCGTTCTCCTCTTGTGTCTCGGGTGTCCAGGCAGCAGCACGACCCCCCATGGCAGCGTGAGCCCGGAACCCCCAAGGCCGGCCCCCCGTGTCCGGAAGCCGAATCCTGACAAGGAAGCCCCCGTGGAGAACGGTCAGGCAACGCGGACAGGTAACAGCCCGAGCCACGACGACCCCAGGCACTGACCTTTCACGGTCCGATACCAGGAGGAAGCAGTACTGCTCCGACATTGAAAAATACTCAGATGTAATCAATCTATTTTTTTTTTAAATCTGCAAAAAAATGAATAATTGCATTACAAGAGGAGACTATTGGGAGCTCCACTCCAGGCACAAACTCCATGGAACACAGGCCTCCTCCATCACCACACAGTCCCTCACTATTACAGATAATTAAACACTATTACAAGCACTTCTTTATACAACGGGGATTAAAATTCAGATTCAGTTTCCAGCATTTATTAGACAGGTGTATGCAGCCTGTCTTATAATTACGTACAAGTGTGTATGTACGAACTCAGAGATGATCACAGCAACAGGCTTCGCTGGCGCCCGGCATGAGATTATGCACAGGGAGCTTTTCTGATCTCTAGCTGTTGCACCTTGGGGGCATGACTTAATGAGGCACGGGAGCGTGGCAAGGCAGGGAATTTGTTTGCAGTGATTCATTCATTAACTTTTAATTCCTCATGGGAAGGGGGGGGGTGTCAAGCTTCATGCCCTCACACGATTCCACCGTTTAACTACGACGCGGGATGAGGCAACTCTACTGGGCTGGCCAGGAAGCAGCATAAAGACGATCACTACTGAATTTAATGACTAGGAATCATTCTTCCCCTGGGGTAGAATGTCACAGACTGGCAGGGAGGGATACGACGGTCCCTTTCCTTGGGGTGCAGAGGATGAGGTGTTTAGTGGGCCTCTTCAGTAACAAGTGCGATCAAGTTGCTTTTTGCCATGCTTTTGGTTACCAGGAGGGGGAGGATAGGTATTTTGGGGCCCCCTCTTACATTAAGGTCAAGGAAGAGGTGAGCTGATTCACAGGCAGCTGAAACAGTATGAAACATCGCCAGCTGTATTCTTTACCCCAGGCCAGAAGGAATCTGCACTGGTCACAGGAGCTGAGTGCAAACATGGCAACCATCTCGTGATTTAAAGTTCCTTTATGTGCTGCCGGTGATATTTTCTGGGCTTTATCCTCATGTCTGCTTAGCCAAACGTTGATGAAAATACACTTCCTCCCCAAAAGGCCTCACAAACCTTTTTAGATAATATTAGATGCCTTTAAACCCTTGTCAGGATCCCCAGATCATTTAAAATGATTGGGCCACTTTCCAAAACTGTGCTTTCTGAAGAGCACTTACATATATCAACAATTCCATAACATGAAACATGCCCATCGTTTCAGTGGTGAAACACATTTTCTCCTCTTGAAAGGACCAAAAGGGCTACAGGATGCTATGTAGCACTGGTGCAGACAAAACCATTTTAATGGTTAGCACACGGATCTCCGTAAAGACAACATAGACCTGATCCATTCACAGAGCTAGATGGACAATAATATGGACGTTTCTCTGATGTTTGGCCACCTTCTGAATAGTCTCATCCTGTAGCACTTTTTGGTCCAGGAAAAGCGAGTGTCTATGTGCTCAGTAATGTAAGGTGCATGTTCAGATTTAAAAATCCTTTACAATTGTCCTACAGACTGTACTATTTTGGATCATATAAATCATTTGGAGCTCCTGACAAGTATTGCATATTATAGTAAAAGACTTTAAACGTGCTTGGCAGTGCACAGGCAGAAAAAGTGACAGCATAACAAAGGTAAGACATCTGGAAACTGCAGTACTGATGAAGCCCTCTGCTCTCCTTTACTTGCTCAGCTCATGTGGAACCTTTCATGAATTGATTTTTGCACTAGGTCTAACCAGACCAAAGTCCACAATGCGCATCAAGTAATGGCTGAAACAGTAGGCTTTCACAGAGTACTTCAATACATGTTACTTTCTATAACTCCAGCAAAATCGTCATGAAAACCTACTCCTTCATTCTCGTTTCAGTTGTGAGCACCGTTCAGGTCACGTTGGAGAAAGACCTAAGGACGGGGGTCTCGACGGTGCAGTCGGTGGTCCCGATGGCCACTGGGGACGTTCAGGTCAGAGGGCAGATGCTGTTTGATGACGGCAGGAAGACTGTTCACGCGGTGGGGGAGGCAATCAGTGCACAGCCTGACCCCGAGGAGGTGGGCCTGGTCTTAAGCGCAGTAGCGGGGAAAGCAGGGATGCCAGAAGGACTGGAGGCTTCCCGAACAGAATCAACTGTGATCCACAACGGAGGGAAGGACATGCAAGGAAAGCAAAAGCCCGAGGTTCCGTTTCTGGAAGAAGGTTCGAAAGAGGGGTCCCAGTCACTCCACTCTTCGCAGAATCCCCAAAAGGTAGACGTGGAGGGGGAGCCCAAGACAAATGGTTCTGTTAGCGCAACAGAAGTATCAGGAGATGAAAATCCTGAGCCAAGCCCGGCAACCAGAGCCCAGGAAAATGCACCAGCCGAAAGGCCAGGAGGACAAGTTCCTCAAGGAACAGCAGAGATCACGGACCATACTGGGCAAGGAGCTATCACCCTGACGTTCCTGGGCTTCACGGAGGCGAGCCCAGAGGAGGACTTTGAAGAGGCTGCAGGTACGGTCATACGAGCAGAACGTGTGATCATCACTGATGAAGGGGATGAACTTTCCATGGATTCTGAAGAAGAACGCTTGAAAGTCTCCAAGTCTGATGAACTTCCCAAGGATGCTAAACAAGAATCCCTGGAGGGTTCTAGTTCCTTGGTAGAACTTTGCAAAGATAAGCTACTGGAGGATACCAAAGATGATCTAGAACCTCCCACCAGTTCTAAGGAGCAACCCCAGGAAAGACCTCCCACTGAGGAAAAGGTTCAGACAGATTCCAAAGTAGAGAAAATGCAGGTACCAAGTTCAGAGGTTGACCTTCCTGTGGAATCTAAGGAGCTTCCTGTGGAGATCCAGACCGCTGCGTCACAACACCCGCCCATCACAACACCATCTTCTGAAGCAGAACCCCCACACCCGCCCAAGTCGGACATGGAGCCGGAAAAAGAGGGTCTTGACGAGGGAAAGACAACAGATGAAAAGCCGGCATTGGAAAATCACATCGACGCAGCAGCACAAGCAGCAGAGCCGGCAGAAGCCCAGCAAGCCGAGCAGTTTCAGGACATCCCCTTGGGCGGGGAAGGGGAAACGGCTCTGTTACCTGAAGCAGTCAAAGTGGAGTTCCCAGAGTCCTCGACTGCTGAGAAACCCCAACTCCAGCCCTTGATAAAGAAAGGAGGAGACGCTCCCGCTGGAACCACTGCCAAAAGACAGGCACCTGCCACACCTGCCGAGATCGAGCCCTTGGTGGCGGCCTCCACCGCTGCCCACAATTCGGCCACTCCCTCCGCCGCCGTGGCCAGGGCCGAAGACGGCAAAGCCGAGGGGCCAGAGGCTCCCCAGCCCAAACACAAGTCCTGCCAGTGCTGCACAGTCATGTGAGCGCCGTCCCCCTGGGAGCTGACACACCTGAGTAACAGACACATTTCACAAGGGTGCGAGGTGACGGTCTCTGCCATTAGAGCCTGACAGGTCTACCCTGGAGGCCTTCACCAGTTCTAGAGGAGGACTTTCCCATGAGGCTCTCTGGTCCTTGAAAATGGACTTTAAATACGTTTTTCCTCTTTCATGTGCTCATGGATCGCAACTATTGCCAGCTGAGTCCTAGGAGGCAACCTTTTATCTGCAATTGCTTCCATAGAGCCTTGTTTTTATGCAATACGTGAACTTCGGACCAACCTTTAAATGTCCTACATAGTGTTTTTAGACCTCTTTACAACTCAAAACTTTCTGCAGCAATGCTACTATCACTACTTTTTCTCCTCCTGCTGGCCAGATGTTAGTATTGTAGCTAGTGACTTTTGGAGCTTCAAAAACTGCAGGTTGCTCTCTCAAGCTTTATGGGTTTTTAACAAGAATATACAAGTAAATAGAATGAACTCTTAGTTCATTACAAACTTTGCACAAAGCATAATTATTTACATAATGCAAAATTTATAGCGCTCAAAACTGTCACAATCAGACTGAATCAATATTGTGTAAGGTTCAAGTAACAGATCTTTTGGAGATTACTTGGGAACTCTTTTTTCCTTACAAACACAAGCAGGGAAAGTACGAACAAGTCATCAGTAAGGAGAGAGATGCTCAAAGTTTTCTCCGAGCTGGAACTCCAATGAGAGGAATACTCTAAAGACACTGCCTCTGTCAGTTTCTCATTACCTACACTGCTCAAACACAGTATTTGGAATTTACAGCTTTATTTAGATTTTTAAACTGGAAGAAAATGAGCAGTTGGTATTTCTGTGATAAATTCTGTATGTGAATGTATATACTGGGAGAGGGCTGGGGTGACTATAGAATGTACCTTTTTTCGAAAGGGGAGTTAGAAATGAGCAACAGACTTTGATTTTATCATTAAAATGAACTATCTGAATTCATGTTTGTTTTTATGTTCTGATGGGGATTTTTCACATTTAAATTTAGTGCACAAGCCTTACAGGTTGGACAGGTTATACTTGAATAGTATTTTCATTATTTTCCGTGTTTGTGTCCTAAAATGACTCCCATGTCTACCATCACAGAAATGTTTTACAATACCGTACTCAATCTTAACCATAGTGCATTAATGGACCAATTCTTATCAAAGAGAAGAGTTTAATACAATTTTCACAGCACTCCACTAGACCCCTGACGAAATATTGCCTTTTCTTACGCAAAGTAAACTATCAAATTATTCAAAAGGCATTTCATCATAAAGTTTTTCATACTGTATACTGTATAGCGAATATTATACTGTATATTTACAACACAAGTAAAGAGCTTATATATTTATGATGGAAGGCACGGGAACAAAGTTAATTGACTGTGTTAATTGCATTTGTTCAATAAGCACATATATGTTAATTTTCTCATATAATAACGTTTTGTATGTCTCATACAATAGCCCAAAAATATAATTTGTGATTTAATGGACGTTCAGCAATAAGGGACGCCTATTACTCCATTAAACTGAGGGTTTACTGTATGAACAAAACAGGTCAAATTAAATGTGTAGGATTGAATAAAGGTTTGGTACAGTGACATGTCTGATAATGATTGAAAACATTAAAAGAGATTTGTCATGGGTCTGGTCCTCACAGCAAAAAGCCCCGTTGTGGCATCTGTTGGGACTACCGGTAAAAACATTTCCTCACACCACCTGTGACAGACTTCACAGCTCCGGCCCTCCGAGCATCCAAGACCCAAAGGGCACTTGGGTGCAAGCTGTTTGGAAAGGGAACCGTCTCTGGATGCAGGTGAGAGAGATAGCGGTTCAGCCTATACTCAGACAGACAAGGAGCATGTTTCGTCCCTCACTCCCACCCCTTTACAGCAGAGATCGCCGCATCGATACACAAGCTCAGTCACAAACAAATCACTCCTCCACTTTCCTCAAAGGCGTCTTCTTGGAAACACTTTAAAAAAACACTTTAAAAAAAAAGCCCTTCTGCTCGTCTGCGTCCTTGAGACCTGGTCTGATCAAGTGAGGGCTGCAGGACCGCCAGTTTACTGTTCTGTTTATTACAGCGCCAGAGCTGCTGTGTGGAGACCCGCCCCTCTGTACAGCAAAACCAGCTTCACAAAAGCTACTTACACAGGACTACTGCAGGAGGATGAAGCGAAGGAACTTAAAACAGGCAATTCTAAACCAATCCCCAGCCGGCCACGCAGCCGCGCAATCTAAACCGCTCCGTCTCCAGTAACCATGAATAACCCTCAACAGCTTCCACTTTTCTATTTCTGTCGGAACTTTTTTTGGGGGGAGCAGCCTTTGCTACGTTTCTCGAGGTGTCCCTCCGGAGAGAAGATGTTTATAGTGGGACACGGGTGGAGAAGTGATCACTTCTCTTTCTGTGCTGGACAGCCGTGTTTCAGACATAGGCCACCCTTTGCTCACTGAGCTCTGGGGAGTAATTAGCAAGCGCAAGGAGACCAAAACCACCTGGGCGGGGCCTGGCCCTGAAGCAGGCGCTGGCACACCGGCTCGTCCAGCTCCGTCAGGAGTCTTCCACAATCCTGCTTTCACTTCTGCTTTCAGTCCAGCATTCCCAAACAGGCTGCCGTTTTCCATGATTGATACTGCGAAACAAGCACACAGATTTCCATTAACACACACTGTAAAACAGCTATGTGGTCAACAACACCGAACGCTGCCCTACGTTCACCTACCACCACCTACTTTTAAGCGGCGGTGTGAATCTCAGATGAAGATTGTTTTTGTCTTGTAAACTTTGGCCTTGAGTTGGATTGGCATCTGGCGATCGCAGAGAACGCCGGTGACCTGGCGCCGTTTTGAAGCTACTATTTCAAATCTTAGAAAGAAATGAAGCGTTCCATCTTCGGTCTATTTTAGGAGATCTCCCTGGAAAAAAGCAGCACTCCAATGAGCTTGCCAGTGATTTGTGGATAAATAGATCAGCATGGGTTGGTGCAGCGGTGCAGCAGTTAGCACTGGATTTAATTGCGGACTTGAGGTGCTGTCTGTGTGGAGTTTGTACGTTCTACCTGTGTTCAAGTGGGTTTTGCTCCAGGTACTGCGGTTTCCTCCCACAGTCCAAAGACATACTGATAAGTTATTTGGCTTCTGGGAAAAAATAGCGCTGATGTGTGTTTGTGTGTGTATCTTCCCTGCAATCAAATGGCTTCCCCTACGGTGTGTACCTCACCTCGTGCCTGCTGCATGCTGGGATAGGCTCCGGCTCCCCTACAGCCCTGAATGGGAAGAAGTGATTAGAAAATGGACAGACGATCAGCAGGAAGGCGAGTAAAGTAAAGTTCACTAACCTACCGAGCCTTGCGCCTCTGGGGGCCTGGGTTTGAGTCATCCCAGGCCACATTCGCATGGGCTGTGGCGGATCTCAGCTTTTCTCTGCGAATCCTGGGCAATGTTGTAGATGCCCCAAAGCACACAAACGGCTGGAAATCCTGGAAAAAGAGGAAAGAGAAAGCTGAGATGATAAGAGATGTTAATTCAGTCTGTCTTTACTCAGACCAGAGGCAACTCGAACATCTCATAGTCAAAACATCCGATAGCTACAAAAATGGAGGAATGTGTGATGGGAGACTATAACACAGGAGGGACCGCTTGTCACACAGGAGGAGGAAACTCCTCTTCCCCCCAAAGGCGAAACAGATTTCAGAAAACAATCCCAGAAGGCCCCACTGACTGACAATGTTCCTCAGAGTAGATAATCACATTTTAATTAATAGACCACATGATTACAAGTACCAGGAAAAACAATCATTGTCTCAAACTTCAGACTTGCTCCACAATATCTTAGGCAACAAGTTGTTAATGGATCACACTGTGCTCTCAGTATACATGCTGAGCACGGTTATGGAATATAATTCACATTTACTGACCGCATGGTAAACATACAATAGTTTGTGCTCAGGAAATGCTGTTTTGATTAGAACTAGGAAGATTAGAATTTCTGTGCTTATTAAGTTTATACTTAATATGTTCCTTTGAGTAAAAACCACTTATCACAACATTAATCCTCCTACAGGTCGGATTACCAGATTTTCAGAACTGGGGACTGAGACAAGACTGCTGTATACAGAACATTTGGTACTCTACTTTAGGGTTGCTAGCCTTACACACCAGGCTAGGAGGGCCTCCCTCAAGAATGAATGAAAATCATATAAAAGGACAATAATTACATACAACTACCAATAAATAAGGACAGTTAACGGGTTTATTCCATGCTGAAAAGAAAAGAAAGGAAACAACGTTTTGGATGTGGAGCCTTCTTCATAAACACGTTACTGCACCTGTTCCTGTGCAGCCTACGCATGCTGACGCAGCTACTGTAGCTACTTGAACTACCAATAAATAACTTCCTTTCCACAATTTCTGATTGATTCCGCATCACAAAACCGGTCAATTTCAAACGTATCTTTTTCTGCGTGTGAAAAACAGCCTGGGAACTCTATTGACCCCTAGCTACAGGGACATTGTCAGCTTGGTCAACCAGTTTGGGAAAAGCTGAAGACTTAAATCAGTTGATTCCAGTTGCATTGGAGAGTTCTGGTCGAGGTGGGAGGGTGAGGTTTGCTATAACCACAGGAGCTTTTAGTAAAAGGCACCGGAGGTGAAAGCAGCACGATTTGCTTGTCAAGAGCCCGTGATGTGACAGAAGGGGCGGTGTTGGAGCGCAGCTGTGCTCGATTCTGCTGGTACGGGGTGACGATTGGCCGTGGGTTGTCCGTGGGGATACTGTCTCAGGCAGATATTACAGGACTCAGCAGAGGATTAGGCTGCACATGGGCTGGGCGCTCGCAGAGGTCAAATCTTATGAGTGCCTGGTCTGAAGAAATGTGAATTCAAATTGCGGAAACACCAGATATCTAACTCAGAATACAGCAGACTGTACAACCAAAACAGGTAGGATTTGTATTCACATTTTTGTTATCGTAATCTTTTGGGATGCTTTTTCACGATATACAGTATGCATTTCCTTTCACTATTATTAACATCTTCACACATTATAAGGTTGGTAGTTTCTTAATGTTTTTAGGATATTTCATCAATTTTTTTGCCTGTCGCTAAACCTCGAGGTGCACTTGAAAACCGCGCTATTTCTCGTGCACACAAACGAATTAGTTATAAAAGTACGTTTTTGCAAACGATGCTACATTCTAATTATTTGCAAGCCCAATCCTGCTAAAACCTTTATTAACAGTTGTAAATGCCGATTGTACTTTGTACTCCTTTTTGAAGTTTTCCGACCACTGTCAAAATTAACGGTTAACTTGGATCACCTTGAAACCCATTAATATATTGTATCGCGCAGAAAGTCACGGTTTTGTTTAAAGTTGAGATAAAATGCAGTAAAAAAAACTTTTAGTAGTGTTAAGATCAAATACTTCATATTCTAAGAACAGAAACGTAACTTTTTAAATAGTTTTAAGCTTAAGGTATTTTGTTTTCGTACTTCATCGAAAAGCATTCGTTATAATACAGCTGAACAAATACTGTAGGTGTTGTAAGACGAGACGGGCTTGTATTTGAGTTAAACAAGACACGTGTATTTCCCTGATGAACTGTACTATTTTAACAACACCATGTATAATCTCCTTAGTTAAAAAAAAAAATACCCGTCAGTCAAGTCAAGCAAACTGCGTTACTCGGACAGGTTTCGTTCTGAATAAAAACCAAAGCATTGTTTAGGAAAATGTCCAGTACTTTCTCCGTTTATCACAAACGTTTTATTTTTACTTTTTTATAATTACCTTAAGACCGTTTGTGACTCCTCACACAAAAGCGTAATAAGACCTCGCATACTCGGGAAACGCCAGAAATTCACTAGCTACAAGACTCAGGGCGCTTGTAATCTAAATATTATACAATTGTAATTAATCACTCTCAATAGCGTATACCCCTTATCTACAGCAGTGCAACTCAACCCTGGTCCTGAAGAAATGCTGTCTGCTGATTTTAATACCAGCCGGACAGTTGATCTGCTTGCTAGCTTGTTTCGACCTTTTTTTAAAACGTATTTCTTCTGTCAGTTTCCAGTACATTCAGCATTCAGAAATATACGCAGCCTGTCACTTAGTGCTTGTGCTTGATTAATTCACAAAGAACTGACATGGGTGGGAAAGGACACGGTATCAGACACGCCCACGAGGAGCGGTTTTTTAAATTCCTGTAGAGGTCGAGTTCGTACACCCCTGATTGAGGGCAGTGCTGAAACTCAGAAATCGGTACGAGGCTTATACCAGTTACAAGCCCCATCTGACCTCTGGAGCTGAAAACCAACATGCAAACCTGCCCATGTGATGAAGAACTTGGCTAGAGTAAAACACTGTTATACTGTATTTCAAGCATACAGTACAACTCTAGTTACTGACATAACTTAATCTTTTTCAAATGAATTACTGAAACATACAGTACTGTAGTAGAACAGCTCGGTTACTGGTCCAGATGTACTTACTAACTAACTTGTTAATTGAGTTTCAATATGTCATCTTGGACATCTTAAAGTTAGTTTAGCTGGCCAGCCATGCAGTTGAAGCTGATACCCTGGCTTCTTTCAGAAACAGCAGGATGAGAGTCTTCTGTCAGGCCAGGAAGGCACCTCTTTACACTCAGGGTTGTGGGAGTCTGGAACATGCCACCCCACCATGTGTTTGATGCTAATACCAAGGCTTCTTTCAGATATCATCAGCTGGAAGGGATCCTTGGATCAGTTAACTGTTGTGTCATACAAATGACAAAGTTCAGGTATCTGTGAAGCAGAAGTCTCTATTTCATATGCATATGGAAGTCCAGCTTGCAACCACCAGACTTAAAAATAAGTAGCTGAAGTTGGTCCTTAATACTTTAAAACAAACAGTTACTTTGACACATTCTAAACAAATGATAAGACAGTAACACATGCCAATGAATTATATCTAAGTTGCAGACTAGACAACAGTTAGTTCTTTTCACGTTCTGGGCATACAGTACAGCCAGCTTACCAAATACATGCCCTTTATCTCACTGACCAAGGACAGGCAACTTCTTTATACAGTATATTTGGGCGCAAAGCTAACTTCAAGACACTAGAGTGCACAGTCTGCAAAAATACAAAAACAAGAAATTATATTATTATCTCACCTCCCAGGTGTCTCTCTTATCTCTTCATAACTAATAGCTACCAAAGGGGCTAGAATGGCCCCTCCTTTAATTTGTAACCCTTCTAAAGTTCTTAACTCCACAACAGTTGTGTCTGTGGCAGATACAAGGCCATATAGGCCATTGCTCATGCTCAGCTGTAGCCAGTAGCTATCTGCACCGCCTGGCCACACTACCCTGATGAATAGTTTGCTGGCAGTTTTTCCATCATCATTTAGAATCCAAGGACAAAATGGCACCTTGGGCAGAGAAGTGAAGGTGACCATATTATCTCCCTGAGATGAACAATTAGCAAGGATAATCTGTGCTTGAGTATTAATCCGCCTCTCCTAAAGCTGTCATTGCTGTACAGCAGTATAGTTTGCACAGACACCCCTTGTGAACTCTCAGCATTTCAAACTGCACTCTCACTATGAATACTATGTAAGAATGAATACTAGGAGAAATAAAAGTATCCCCCACCCACATTTCTTAAATGAATATTAAATTGTTAAATTGTCTGAACCTCTCACTTTTAGGAAGAATGAGTTTTCAGTCAATGTTAACTGTTTCACTGACAGCAAAGATACTTATTAAACAAGTTCAATAAAGACACTTAATGGTGAAGTAGTCATTAATACTCCAGGCTCCTAGCCAATAAGTTGTGGGTTTGAAGGATTTCACCCAGCTGGTACTGATGGAGTAATTGCATCATTAACTGGTGTCCTATCCTGGGATAAATGGTGCGCTCTGAGCTTGTCTCATGTTACAGATAATGTACCATAATAAACTCTAACCTGATCTTGAACATGGTCTTTACATACATTTCATTCCAATGAACAAACGTGCATTTATTTATATTGGCGAAATATGTTTTAATTCTGCCTAGTGCTTCACGCAAGGCATTGGTACATTACTGGATCACAAATAATAATGATAGTTAATGGAGAATAAATTCTCATTTTCAGCCTGGTAGGGTACCCATTTATACAGTACAGTGCAGTGAGGTTGCCCAAATGCAATACATTCTCGTACATAAAGGGACAACAGTGGTGTCTCACTCAAGATTTGAACTACAACCTTCCAGTGAAGAGTCAAGAGCTCGTTATTGTTGCTCCAGATTGTTGTGTCAGGTCCTAGGCACAGAATTTGTTGCAAGAGACTCCAATGACCTGAGTAATCGGGAATTCTTTTGGAGAGTCGGGATTGGTTAGAGAAAGCCCACTCATGCTTAGATCGGACAGGCTATGCTGGAGCTTTTCTTTAAGATAGAGAACTGACTCTGTGAAGATGCTAAGGGGCCTTAGGACAGCCCACGTGTCAGTGCTGATCTGTCTGAACACTTTCAGAAATTTGTCACAGTGGACTCAGACTGTGTGCTAAATTTAATGACATTTCTTTAAAGAGTGGCCAGTAAACTAGAACTGTATCAATGCCAGCTTACAATTCTATACAGCAAATAAAGCAACACCCTGCCATTTGCCTCCTGGCAGGCATAGTGGTTCCAGTTTATTCCCAGTCTCACCCCTGAGGAACCACAGGGCATCTAAAGGCTATACTCTGTCTTGTTCTGTAGTTAAAAGAAAACTTCTTAAAGAAAAGCAACTGGCTGCTTTCTTAGTAAGAGTCCATGTCTTCTTAACTTAACCTTTGACCTCAATTGTGAAATGGCACTGAATACTCAAACTCAAGCTAACATGACAGAAGAGGTCATTTTACAGGTATGGCACTGCTGGCGGTGTAGAGTTGGGGACAAGTGTCTGGTCTTGTGACTGGCAGTCTGTGGCTTTGGGTCCCTGCTGTTAGACCTTGAATGAGGTACAGTACCCCAGTTACCCCAGTTGCTCCACTGCACACTGTTGTATTATTGCTGGGGGAGGATACTCCCTGTGATGGACCGGTGTCCTGTCCAGGGGGGAGCCATGTGCTGTACTGTAGAGCTCACCTACAGCTACTGCAGCCTGACTGGGCTGACCGAATAACCCCCGTCATGAACCACTACCGTCAGTGCTTAAAGGTATACAGATAACGTTGAGGGACAGAGCACTGGCTTTCAGGATCATGGTGACAATATTTACTAAGGGGAGGTGGCCTGTAACTCTAAATAGTGGAACAGGCATTTTGCCACCAGCAGCGATGTTCTTCACAGCGGGCAAGGGAAAGGAGAACATTCTCATTGCTGTGATGTCAGGGCAGGGTTTCTCAAGGCCAGCATCAGGAGGTGGGGGCAGAGGCGGCGAGTTAAGCTGCCTCTTGCCTGACGGGAGGAGAAGCTCAGCTGGTCCAGATTGGGGAAAAAAAGACAATAGCTTGCTTGTCAATCGTTTTGTGATGGGGGGGGGGAATGGGAGGAACGATGTGTTCTAATGGTCTGTGCTGAAGGAACCAGGCTGAGGATGGATTAGGAAAGAGTCCAGACGCACTAGACAACACGTGCAGATATTGCTGAAAAAGGCAGTGGTTTGGTTATGTTAGATTAAATGTTTTCACCAACACAAATCAGTACCCGTGAATTTGTGGATTTGCTCTTTGATTGTGAATTGTCACAATGGACAGTGAGCACCATAAGCACATTTCAAACTGGATTGGAAATGAACTCTTATACATTTTACCGTTTGTTAAGGTAGTTCTTTCACCTGTTTTTATTCTTTTGCAAGAGAGTTTGGTTAAACTCAAATATGCTAAATAAAAATTATAATTCATTATTTTACAAGTAAACTGACAGTTAGGAATTCCAGAAATCGAGAGAAAAGAAGGTTCCCAAAAATATTTTTAAAACTTAAACGGGCCACCAAAGGGCAGAATTCAAATGTTCCCAGTCATCAGTAATAGTGTGAAATGAAGCCACGTAGAAATCATTTGAGTTTGAAACAGAAATGATCAGTCCTGAACAGAGTTGTGTTAATTAAGCACATCAGTCAGTACCTCACCAATGTTGCTGATGTGGAGACTGGTCACACTGGTGGTTCAGGGTGAGCTATAAGACGAACTTGGGAAATGGTTGGGACAGCAGTGTGGGCTCAGAGTGACACAAGAGGCTCTGAACAGAGGCAGTGTGGCTCAGAGTGACACAAGAGGCTCTGAACAGAGGCAGTGTGGCTCAGAGTGACAC